TAGATTTACACAATGCTCTCTGCTGCACATTTAAAAGTACACAATAGCTGAAAATGTCCTGTATAAACTGGAAGCTTATTCCACAGTGACCTATGACCCTCGCACAAACCGTGATCAGCTTCTTAAGGCTGTTGTGCCCTGCAAGATATCACAGATCATGCACCTTCCTGCAGAGCATTAGACTTTGGGCAAGCGTGTGTCAAGCAAAAGGAAAAGCACTTCTAACCTAAGATCACATACTGAAAAACTATGATATGATATGCAGATCATTGTATTTAAAATAATTTATTACACTTCATTGTCTTTTATCCGTATATCGATTGCTGTCAATGCAGAGGGATAATTAGAGTTCTACAGACAAAAAAGCTAGAGGAGCCAATTTTAACTATGGTTGACCTTGCAAACTGCTACTGATATGTGGAGAACGCAGCCGGCATTAAATGCATCATCTCTTTAGCTTCTTTGGAGACCCAGCCCATAACAGTAGCTTTAAATAATATTAGAGATATAATTGCCCCATTCACATTCAATATGAACATGGTAGCCAATGCAGTTGGGTGCCTGTTAACAAACCTCTCTCACACAAATTACTTTTGTTCCACATGGGGATAATGGGCAGACAGACAGCTCAGACCTGCTCACCCATTGAACCATTCATCCTTTGATATGGTGTTCAATGTGCTGTACAGGGAAGTTAGCCCTCACGTGAATGTCTTCAACATTGCTGTAAGACTGGAGCTGTGCAGGAAATAGCAGAAGTCAAGGTTCTACTGAGAGACAAGAGAACTTGGCCACCTAAGGCCAACCCTACCTCCAGTGATGCTTCGCCACTCTGGGGAATCCCAGTAAGAGCTGACCAGTGACACAGGGGCTATAGTGTCAACCAGAGCTTGAAACAACTACCTTTGCTTGAGTGACTGCAGAGTCCACTGAAATTTAAGTCATTTTTCAAGTAGCGGTGCAAATGCATGCTTAAGGGCTTACTTTCCATCCTTTAGGTATTTTATTGCAAGAATGGAAGTCAGAAACGCTAATCAGTTTTAAACAGGTTTCACTGAAATGCATACTGTACATCATTGACTCCTACACCACCGTGATCCTGTTCGCTTCACTAAAATCTACAGGCATGTTAACTCCCATTCACTAAAAAAGATATACCTTCAACATATTTATATGTCTTTCACTATCAATATTCAGTGACTGCTTTAACTTTAGGAATATGACTCAAAAAGAGCACATTTGGACATTTTGATACATTTCACAATCATCAATACACAATGCATTTATTAATTATGCAAATGTATAATGAAAATGAATTGATTTTGTTCATATTCCATCTGGAGTCTGAGATGTATGACATGGAGCCTGATAGTGATTACAAATAATTGGAGTTTATTCCTTCTGAGGGAAAACCTTATTTGCTACAGAAGGTGATGTTCCATGTCTTTATTTTTTTCCAAAAAGATTTTAATTAAGATTTCTGTGGGTACTCAAATTTATTTGGAGATTTCTCGATGGTAAAAATGACACCCATTAAATTTCAGGTTAAAAATCTCTCCCGCAGTGGCACTTGAGGGAAAATGCTTTAAATGGATTTCCAATAAAATACATTGTTAACCATCTACATGATTACAATCTCAATCAGCTGATCTCTAAACAGTAACATTATTTTTTTACTGTCACAAAAACTGGTTTACAAAAGCCTATAATCCAAACTTTGCATAATCACAAACTAAAAACACTGAAATTTTGATTCCCCTGCCTCTGCTTAAATGAAATACTGTACAGTATGAATATAGAATAATAGGTTGGATCGTTAATACCTACAGTAGCTGTTATCAACTTCATGCCTGCTCAATTCTTATTTTATTTTATTACATTTTTCATTAAGTTTTTATTAGATGTACTGTATGATGTACAAAATGGCACTATTTTGTGTATTTTATGTTCATAGAATTTTGCATGTAATTTTAATGCCTTATTGCACAATATTGTATGTTCACCTAAACTGCTAGAGAGATGAAAAAATAGAATTGAACAACTGCGAAATGTAAGAGAATATATACAGTACAAGGTAGCTTTTGGGCCAGCATGGTGGCACAGCAGTTAATATCGCTGCCTCATAGGGCTGGGACCCTGTGCTCACTTATTGGGGTGCTATCTGTGTGCTGTTTGAATGTTCTCCACACGTTCACACAGGTTTCCACCGGGTTCTCTGGTTTATTGCAACAGTCCAAAGACAAACTGGTAGATTAATCGGCATCTGGGAAAATTGGCCCTGGTGTGTGTCTGGTGTGTGAGTTGTCCAGGGTGTACCCTGCCTTGCGTCTGTTGCTGGCCAGGATAGTCTCCTGCTTCACTGTGTGCTATACAGTGATTAGAAAATGCATATATATATATATTCTTTATACAATGTATTAATACACTGAATGATCTACTGTTTTATCGATTATTTCAGTAGTTTCAAAAGTAGTCTCCTATTATGTTTAAATATTATCTATTGTACAAAATAAAACCAACTTGTTTTGCAGATCAACAGTTCAAATTCCATTTCCACGTGCAGATTTTGAAGGGTTTAAATCATGGAGTTTTTCTCATTGGTGCTTCACCAGTTCAGTTTGACACCTGCAAACAGATGCTACAAGACCGCATCCTACACGTTTTTCATCATTAGACAGAACGAAGGAGTACAAATTGGCAGGTACTGGCTGTAACTAGATTTATCTACAGCATGACTACCCCTGATTTTCTTCTTTTAGACTGAACCTACAGTATGAGAGAATAAAAACATTTCTCCCTGTGCATTAATTCAGTTGAGTTTCAAAAACATTTTGCTTGAAGATTAATGTAGTGCCAATTTTGCGTGTGCTTCTTATGTAACATTAATCGCAGCTATGATGGTGCTTTGTAGATACAATAGTACAGAACGGTTTTTCCGAATTAAATTTTCTGCAGCTTTACAGCTGCATTGAGGGATTTCCAGTCTGATCTCGGCGTGGGCAGCAATGCTCTGGAACACAAGTTGCATTTTATATCGAGTGCTAGTACGCTGTACAGTAGGTGTGCAGTCGTGATGCGGAGGAGCGCCCCTGTCACTGTCAGAGTGGGCAGGCAGGCAGAGACAGTGAGAGATGACTTCACAGACCTCAAGGGCTTGCGGAAACTGCATGGCTTCTAACTTAAAAGCCTAAGCAACACAGTCATTTAAAAAAAGTAAAGGTCGTTTTTAAAACAAGATTTATTCACACAGCACCCATTGCTAGGTCTGAGTGATAAGACTAGAAAAATCTTTCAGAATTACACCACATTAATAATCTACCTAGTCCTCTAACCCGTGGTGCATTAAAACCAGTCCACTCATGTTCAATTAAAAGGGTAAATAAGCGTACATAAATAATATGTAGAATTAAATATTTTTTAAAATTGTAATGTTTTAGTCAAGCTGACTTGCAGCACAGGAACCTGGGTTCAGTTCCAGACCTGGGTGGAGTTTGTGTTCTCCCCATGGTCACTCCAGTTTCCTCACAAGACTCAAGACAGGATCATCGGCCTCTGGGGAAACTGGTGTGAGTGTGTGTATCGGTGTCTGTGTGTGCCCTGAGATGGACTGGTGTCCTGTACAGGGTGTGTCCTGCCTTGTGCCTGTTGCTTGCTAGGATTAGGCCCCGTGACCCTGAACTGGATAAAGAGGTTAGAAAATGGATTGATATTTTTTAAGCCTTACAATATTGGTGGAAATCAGGTATGTACCGTAGCTTGTTATACATTTTATCTTTTCAGTTTTTCTGAGAAGTCTATAAAGTACTTTCAATGTTACATACTGTTTTGCTTGCTTTTTAACTTATTTTTGACTGACAGTGCTCTTTACTCACCTACAGTAGATAACTGGATTTCTACAAAACATCATTTAAGTAGTTGGATAGACAGACATACTATCCAATATTTATTACACAAGATTTCTTGTCTCAGAATCATTTTTGAATACCCTCATAAACACCACAGAAGTGATCAATTACAACTCTTAAATAAAACTAGATCATTGATACACATTGGATGGAGACCGTTAATGTGTACTGTGTGCAAAAGAAAAGGCAACAGAACACCATCACTTCAAAGTATCAGGGCACTTGTGTACAGTCCAGTTGCACAACTATTCAGGCCACTGATCTATACCAGCCTGACAACATACAGTATAAAACTAAAAACAACAAAAACAGGTTTTCCTGTGTTGTTAGAATCAAAGATTCAGAGGACTTCAAAATGTCTGAAAGAATGTCCAAGTGATCAGACCTCACCCATCACCATCATGCATTAACCCACATTGAGACCTTGACAGACATTTTGATCAATGCAATCATGTTTGTGGGGGGTATGGAACATCTTGTCCTAAGCCGCTGAATTTGATTTCTTAGGATCCTTTAAGAAACAGCTTGATAAGATCCTTGGATCAAGAAGCTACATCAAGAATCTACTACTAAACAAATGAGCAAAATGTGCAGAAGTACTGCTCACCTTTTTTATCCTTTTTATTTTTAAAGAATATTTTGGATTTGCCAGTAGTGTCTTTGTCTCGCTCACAATGATGACCCCGATACCTACACAGGGTGACTGAGAAAATCACAAACTGTAGGTATTCCAGCCCACTCACTGGAGTCATTCATCTTTTGATGCCTTGCAAACCCTATAGAGAAACACACTGCATGTGCACATGCCTGTAGGAGCATGTGAAGCCACAAAGCCACTAGCTGATTCATTCCAACCCTGCCCTTGGTGCTGTTTGTAACCTCTTTAAGGTTATAATGCTCAAACATCAGACCTGGCTAATGTGTCAACTCAAACAGCCTTAACAGTTCACTGGTAGTGGACGTTGGATAAAGAAAAACATTACGGAATCGGGTCACAAGAAAATGGTGAACCAAATGGACAGAAGGCAGGTCTCACATCTTGTGAAAAGATTCAAGAGTGATCCCTTACCTTCAGACTGATGTGAAGAATCTTACCTCATGCGATAAATAAAATGCTGCTATTCCAAGGGGCCAGAAACAGCAAAGCATGGAGAAGACGCTCAGGCCCAGATGATCCCTTGGAGGCATCATGAGAAAATTGTCCTCGCTTTCTGTGTCACTAGAATAATCACTCTGCAAAACAGATGAAAGACGTGGACACTATTAAAGAAAGCAAGAGACTGAGCTTCATCTTCAGTACCAACAAAAACAACTACACAACAAATCAGAATGAAGTAATCTAATTTTTGTAGTGCACCCGTCTCTCTTGAAAATCATTTTTCAATGAAGCCATGGCAGGTTCAAACCTAAGTAAAGTGCAGGAAAGTTCAGGGTAAATATTGACTTGCTGATGAGGGCTCATCTGTTGAAGATTAACAGTGCACGGGGTGCATCAATTTTCCTGATTTAAAGGTACACTACCACATCTGAACTCAAAGCCAAACCAAGACTGTCTACCAGAGGCTTATTCTCTCATTCCAGAAATAGGTTACAAATCAAATCTGCCTGTTATTTTCTCAAAGCGTTAGAAAAATAAGACAGTCTTTCTAAGCAAAACGCTGAATTAGGCCTGTGTCACTGTTGGGGAAAAAAACCCTGAAAGTTACTTCTGAGAGCGAAGCTGACATGTTGTATAAGAAGTCATGATTGTTTGCTGGGGCCTAAAGCTAGCACAGATGGCTGCACTCTACATGAGTCCCAGTCATTATTTATTGGGACAGACTATAAAAGGAAAACTGTACGTGCCATCAAACCACTTCAGTCATCGCAGAGGGTGGTTTTGTACCATAGCCTGATGCATCTACAGTACCTGCCTTTTTACCTTGAAACAAGTGAGAATAATGAAGGCATTGTTTCACTCTGTTGTACTGAGCGCACAATCCTCCGCAGCTGAAGCTGCTCCACAACCATACTGCTAAAAGAGCAGCTAATTTAATACAACCCACATGTACTGCTCTCTACAGCAAACAGAACAATAATTGCCTTTGGACAGATTATGGCAGCATTTCTTAATTTTATCATTTCTTATTGTTTGACAGTAAGGAGCATATGAAATATTGGCTCATTTCTTTTCCAAACAGTTATATTTTCATACTCAGCATCGCATTTGAGATATCGGAGACTACTGACAGGAGAGCCTGATCGAGCCTCGTCAGTTTTTTAATCACTGATTTTCGCTAGTCAGAAAAGCTATACGCACAGACAAAGTGAATACGAGAAAACACTTCACAGTTTCAATCATTGTCTTTAACTCCCACTGCTTGTGCATAAAATCATATTATTTTGAGTGATTTAGGTACAATGGTCCAAGTATTGAGATGACAGTGTCTACAGCTAATACCTGTTTGCTGCTTTTTCTCCATTCTGAAGTATGATTGTGTAATTTCACTAGGAGATTAGATTTTATTTCTATATTTCTATATCTGCAGTACTGCCATTGAAATACAATTCAAAGGCATTACACATGAAGTTCTGGTTTTAACTTCTGCTCATATTCAGGCTTCACTCGTTTATGGAACACAAATGAAATGTGACATAATTTTTACTGCTGTCAGTATATTATTTTTTGCCATACAGCTAACAGGTTGAGAGTAACTTTAAAAGGCATTTGTTTCAAATGCACGTCATAGAAATTTTGTAAGAAGCTTTTTAAGTGATGAAGAAAAAAAAATTAAAGGGCTTTTACCAAAAAACAATCTTTTTAGTAGCATGTTATTTAATATTCAACACATGAAACTGACATTTAAAATTTTGATTACTGGATAGAGTCATTTGATGATGGAAGGCTCTTTGGATACAATTGATACTTATAATCTAGCTTTGATCTGCAAAAGTCAAAGACCATAGTCACTCACACATGTATGCCTCTGGAGGTGGGTGCAGGCCAGCAAGGAGCTTTTGTTTTGGCCTAGATCTTGTGCGAGTTCTGCAATGGGCACAAGTCCAATACTATGGGGGGCTTGCCAGTGGTCTTAATTCCTTGGCAGACTCCTGATCCATCCAATCCCAATATCATTGGGATCAATCAGCCAGAAGAGGCAAATGACAAGGTGAAGATTCACACCGAAGGGCACCCAGGATGTAGAATACATTTGGCACAGAGATGAGAGCTTTTAGTGAATGAGGTAATGCAATGATCCTGAATGCGCTGGACGTGTTTTTTTTTAAAGGTTGTTAGAGAGGGACTGAAGAAAATCAAACTCTTTTTTCAAGAAAATGTTACAGGTGTGGAACGTGTATCTCTTGAACTTTTATCCTTATCATAGATCTGGACAATGTAAAGGACCTGAAGCAGAAAACAGTTAATGATTAAACACAAATCTGGAAATATTATAACAATAAAACAAACAATGCACTGATATTCAAATATAGTATAACCTGAGTAATTGTGCTACCTGCAGTATTTAACATGAATCTGCACATGAATAGAGTGTGTGCAGAATTATGTGGCTTAGCTGCTAAATCAAACTGCTCTGCATCAGAAATTAATTTCCTTCTTATGTGAAGTGCACGGGTAGTGAATGGTCAAAGTCCTACAAATTTCCCCACATGTAGAAAGCCTTCTAACGCCCCTTCTTCAAGTGACAGCCATGTTCCTGCTTTAAAATCAAGTTTATCTCCTGAGTACTCTTTAAATATTTCTGCCTGTCCCAGATTGCAATTACTTGTTGATGTGCCTGCAGAAGACAAGATCGTATAATGGTCTAATCATGCATCTTTAGCGTAGTGCTTTTTTCCCTCAATAGCCTGCTTTGGAGTCTTACCATGAAAATGCCTTAGTTTGTCTTAAGACCATCCAACGTAGCCTCTGCAATGTGTATCCTTAGCTTCAGTTTCTCCTTTTCTCACTGTCTGCTAGACCTAGTTGATTTTAAGAGGGGGCACAAATCACATTGCTTTTCATGGCAAATGGAGGAACAATCTTACCAAAAACCTGTTTCTATACTATAATGGGTAGCCTTGAAATTGGTTTGCACCATACTGTAGGCACATCAATTTTGTCATTTGCTTAAACTAAAGCTTAAACTACTACAGTACATTGTATTTTAATGAAATACACAGTAAACATTTTTTAGTGAGTTACATACACAAAATAATATTCAGTGTCCATAATGACGTGCCAGTTGTTGATGTGTAGATTGGCTCTGTTTTATTTCCCTGTTTGTGGATAGGTATTCTAAGTACAATTTTCCTGTTAGTGAGTGTAAATCCTATCATAACTGAATGGTCAACGATCCGCCTTTTAATACTAACAGTCAGTGAAGAATGTTTATTATTTATTGAAGTGCAGCTGACAAGTTATTTTCTTTTAGCACTCCTGTGCAGTGTGGAAGTTAGCAGCTACTGTAACTGAGACAAGGATTTTATATGGGCATTTCTTCAGACGTGCCAGGGTATCGGCTTCAACATCATGGCAACCCTTTGTGCGAAGACCTGACTCCTGTTTCAGTTTTAAATGCCCTTCCATGTCGATTCCACTCATCTCCTGCACAGTAAATGTACTGTAGTGCACTGTACACCAAACCTTTTTTCTTTTTAACTTCTGTCTCATACAAACAAAGGAAGACATACCAGCTTCCACAACATGACATTTTTTCCTTTATCAGAGGTGTTAAGACAGTTCAGTACGTAAGCAGTGTTATTCTTAAGAGCACGTTATATTTGTATATTTCTAAATAGTGGCCACCTGTGTAAATATTCAATAAATACAGAATTTAACAATTTGCATTTCATCCTCTAAAAGTTATGTTTTTGAGTCTTGCATCTTTTACTTTTCTTATCCAACTACACTGTAGCACCAAAAACTCTTCTGGGTTGAGATCTTTGGATCACTTAGCTAATACCAAATGGGTTAAAATGTCCTCTAGCTAGTAACTTGTCTTACCTTCGTGCTCCAGAAAGCAATTTTCTTTTCCTTGATCGAAGTTATTTAATGAATAAGGCTTATATTATGCAGACTTTTGATTAATTTACTTTTGGATGAACTTAGTCTCTGTCTCCAGCAATACATTTTTGAAGTGTGACCATCTCTACTGATTCCACATCCATTCTGACTCCTTCCTCTGACCGCAAATTACCATGAAGGGATATTGAGCACTAGATCATAAAGCTTTGAAATTTAACATTAAGCATTCCATTACCTTATTAGTATTAATATCCCGTGTCCTTTGTTTGCTTTATAGCACTCTAGAGTGCAGTGTTTGATGACTAAAATGTAAAAATGTCTGAAACTTTCAAAGCTGCACATTCTGCTTTGGCCATATCAGAGAGTGGTGTTGTTCTCCACTGATATCACACTCACACATCTTATTTGATTTTTGTTTATTTGGAGATATAATTAATTTCTGAAAAGCAACCTACATTTGTCAGTAACATAATGAGGCAGGCCGCCATCATGCAGGAGATGAGTGGAATCTACATGGAAGGGCATTTAAAACTGAAAACAGCAGTCAGGTCTTGACACAAAGGGTTGCCATGTTGTTGAAGCTGATAGAAATGTCTGGATAAAATCCTTTTCTCAATTAGCTGCTAACTACCAAACAGGACGAATGGGTTCTTGTTTGTAATCTAAATGCTTTTATTTTGAATGGGATGGTCTGTGGCATAACCCTATGAGTTCACCATAGAAATGAATACATTCTAAGACATTTAACTCTTCAGTGATTTTAAAGTTCATTTCTGTTTTAGATTCATTAGCTATATTTAGAACAAAAAGTTTATGATAGAAAATATTTGTTGCATTAAATAATATGGAAACACCATTAATAATTAGTGCAGCAAACTGAGCTGAGATGCAAGAAGCCAGTGGCGGCAATCATATTGCTATAGGAACAGTGTGAGTCAGATATAATGGAAGCTCATTAATTAAAAAATGGAAACAAAATGAAGCAAATGCTGAAATCCTAAGGGAACATTGTGAAATTAGACAAGGAATGAGATATTGTTTTAATAACCTTAATGCATTGAGCCAGCTAAAAGGTTCCAGCAGAAGACGTAAAAGGACATGTTGAAGGAGACATGTGCCGTAAAATTGCACATTACTTTGTTTCTTAATGGCTTGCACTGCAGTTTGGATTATTGAAATGCCTGGCTTCACCGCAGTCCTGCAGTTTAAAAAGACCATAGGATGTTAACTCACAATCGACAGCAGACTAGATTACTTCTGCTTTCATCACTTTCCCAGAACTTTGGTTTCTTAGAATGTGATCCTGTCACACGGACTCTTTCACACCTACATCTGTGAAAGTGCTTTATCATGGAGCATCGCATTCCTCAATGGCCCTTGTTTTATCCTCACCACTCCACCACCCTGGGATCCTTCAGAGGGAAGGACACTTCATAACAGTTCATCCTTCCAACTTCTGACCACCTCATCCAATTCAGGGTTGCGGTGGAGCTGGAGTCTATCCCGGCTAGCAACAGCCCAGATGGGATCCCAGTCCACAGCAGGACACACACTTACACCAGGGCCAATTTCCCCAGAAGCCAATAAACCTACCAGTACTGTATATTTTAACTATGGGAGGAAGCTCAAGCGAACATGGGGTGAACATACAAACGCCACTCAGATAGCACCTCGAACCCAGGACCCAAGTGCTGTGACGCAGAAATGTTAACCAATGTGCCCCCATGCCACCCCATGACAGTCCAATTGCACTGGATTCTTGTATTCTGCATGGTACTAGCAATGTGAAATCACTTCATTTGCAAAGGTCTTGTCAACATGTCCAGGTACAGTATTTGCTTCCCCCAAGGGAAGGTACAGTATGTTTTAATTGGTCTTGGGGAGTAACATGAATAAGCAACTATACAGAGGTGCAGAAGTGCCACAGAGTTCAAAAGAGGAGAAAAACGGGCTGTGATTCCACAGGGTCCCAGACAACCCGATTAATGAAATGTGGATCATTTTGGGATAAGTGCTGAGACTTGGAGCCGAAAAGGAAATGATTCTGGTGTATCAGTGGCTCTTTAACCGAGAGAATATGCAAATAGTAGAGGGGAGATTCTGTGCATGGTGTGTTAGAATGTGACAGCAGAGACAATGTGGAACAAAATGAGCTGTATTGACATTCTGGTAAACAACATTACTCCCAACAAAACAAGCAAGTTTTACATACCTCTAATTACAGTGATCAGATAAACAATCAGGCTTCTGCCATTAACTAAAGAGGTACAGTAGTAACCCATCAAGCTTGTTAATTTTAATGAATATTTTTAGACATCAAATAGATTATAAAATAAATTACAAAGTGATAACCTATCTGTAATGTTTTATGATTAAGAATATGCTAATGACAAGTTAAAATGAAACCACAAAGCATCATACTGTAACTGCATTACAATGTAGTAATACAGTAAGTGTACATAATAAATGTAGTCTTCTTATTGCTAAATTCTAGCTTATAAGCTATCTATTATGCTTTATATCCAAATGGACCAGGGAGTGATAAGAATCACTTTAAAATGCAGTGCAGCAGGATTACAGATGGCTTTTAATTTATTTATTAAAATCCTGAAACAATTAAGTATGATCAATACAACAGGTGGTGTGTTCAATTACATTATTTAGAGAGAGAATTTGGAACAAATATATGAATATTCTTCAGCACTCAAGAACCAGTGCTTCCTCCATAGAAACATTACTTGCATAATTGATTGATTGCTTAAATACAGTATGTGTTCCTGATCTTTAATTAAGTTGAATACTGTATAAGGATAACTGGGTTAGAGCTCTGTGGGAGACTGAAGACCCCTGTTTTAATGATAACTAGTGTGCAGAGTTCCGGGAACATTAATTTTTGATCAGTTGTGTTTCAAGTCATGTCAGTGAACAGTGTGCAAAATATTGCACGTTGGCCAAATTAAAATTAATTTGACACCAGCTCACCCTTCAACATCACAGCAGACAAAAAGCTAAATGAACTTGAAATTTACACACATTCATTTTAATTGGTCAAAAAATAAGTTCATTGTAATCAGATTAGCTGTTTCTATTTCCTCTTTTTAATTTATTTGACAAGATAGTAGTCTGTCTAAAATTATTTGCAATGGCTGATATTTTTGAGGCAGTTTCTCTCTTTCCCTGTGAGATGCTAAGGCGTCAAACATTGGTATTCTGGAACACGTTTCCCTTACAATTTATCTTGCCTTTATAATTGATGTCTACGGAGCAAAGAAAATTGAAATATGGAATATGGGCATGATAGTCTAGAAACTGTTATCCAAATCCAGCTACAAGCCAGTGCTCTTCCTATAAGCCTTCTTTTACGTTAAATTAGTGTCATTGTAGTGCCGGAGAAACATATAAAGGCCTAAGCAGACCCTGTATTGTGCTAAAATTGCTAGAGCATTATGAAGGTTCATCTTTAAAGCCACTGAGCATTACATTCACTGGATTTAAAAGTTCTCTGTGACATGCTATTCAGCAAATCATTATAGCACACGTACTGTAGGAATTTATGCTAAACCATCAGATAATTAAAGTGAAATTGGGCACTCACAAGTCTGGCTGGGCTAATATTGTATTTCACAGTTAAGAGAAATTAGAGTCTGACAAATATTTCTAAGAGCCTAGTTACAAACAGAAATTGTTTCAAAATAATAATTTGAGTAATAACAGGTATGTAGCTGCATGGAACTTAAAAACAAATATTTTTATTTCTTAAATATACTGTTTAGTACACTAAAGATCTTGAAATTATTATACTCTGATGCTTTTTATGGCTGTTATCCGGCATCATCAATAGATTTTATATCCAAGTACTGGTCTTTTTTTAAGTCAACATTACAGTTTAAATGTAAAGTTAAAAAAATATTGAACATCAAAGAAAAGTATTACTTACAGTATAACAGCAATAAATTCACAATGCTATTGACATGAAAATTATAATCTTATTACGAGCTAATGCCCTAACATGTTAGTGAATAGACATGAGATGCTTAAATTCAATTCAATAAACAATCCCTACTCTTATTTAGCTCTTTTCTGGATACTATGCTCAAAGTGCTTTACAGGTAATGGTGACTCCCCTCCACCACTACCTGGATGATGCAACAAGAACCAGAGTGTGCCACACCAGCTCTCAGTGGGGAGGAGAACAGAGTGATGAAGCCAATTAATAGACAGGGACTATTAGGGTAATTTGGACAACACCTATCTAAGAGCATACAGTACTTGCATAGATTACATATATTGAGGTTCTGTTGATGCTCATTATGGTATTATTCCTACAGTATCCAGTCAAACAAGTACTTTTCTACTCACTCATCCCTGAGTTAAACTATGAAACTCGTCTTGAACTCCATATATAGACTAAATGCATACTACAGTTACCAGTACAGTAAACCAGGTGGTTTATTATTCTGATTATTCAGAGATACTGTCTCAGACATGATCACAGTGAACTGCTCATTCCATTGTATCCCCTTTATGACGTCTGATAAGCTGCACTGCTGAAAAAAAACGGCACCTACCTCCAGCTCCTGAAACTCGTCGTCGTCGTCGATATCGTAAGACAGCGTTTGTATTTTAGCATCTTCGGCAGAGAGGTCCAAAAACTTGCCCTCTGTGAAAACTAGGCCGTCTGTGGTGGGAGACAGGTCTTCGATGAAGGTGGTTTCACAGCACTCTGTGCCCATGCTCTCACTCCAGGATTTCAGCATGTTCTCAGAGTACAGAATGATGTTGGGTCGATAATGTGAATCCACAGACTGGGGGAGAGTGCTGGGATTCAGGAGCTGTGGAGTGGGGCTGCTCTTGTTGCTCTCCACAGAGTTCTGTGGTGGCAGGTTGACAACCACATGTCCTTGGTACTGCGGTGCTGAGTACACAGACACCAGCCCATCCTTAGTCTCCACCATGAGGTTTCGAGTGTTAATGAGGCCATTCTTCTTGGTAGATTCTGTGCCATTTTTGTGAAAGGCAACATTCTTTTCTTCTACCTGTCCCTCCATTATTGTTTCCCCTGGGGTGCTTTTCATAAATCTCTTCTGGAACACATCTGCCTGGAAGATTGTGCTTTCCTGTGATAGTTCAAAGAAAAAGTGCTTAGATTAGAATAGCAGATTAAAATGGCAATTAAATTTGATCATATTTATGATGTTATCTGTTAATCCGCCTCATTCCAAGCGTATATGGTATTTATTTGAAAAAAAATGGGTTACAATATATAAAAAAGAAATTTAGAACATATGTTGGCTCCTTTTTTTGAAGGCAGGAAGGAGTGAAACAACACAGTATTTTAATTGCAACAAAACCACATCATGTACTAGCATGCAAAGCTTTTTTCTGTTGTAACATTTGATGATTTTATTTTAAAATAAGCACAACTACAAGAATAAAAGCATATAGTGAATTCAATTCAATTTTGGTATGCAAATGAATATTGAGAAGGTACAGCATGATATGGGACGGTGGTGAAATATGAGCGTCTACCAATCGAAAGCCAGAATTTCTGTCTAGTTGAGTGGTCTTTGTTGGTAAATAAAACATCCACTTAGCATCATCCTGCATGCTGTAAATTAAGAGTGAGTCACTGACGCAGTTCTGAACCCCCTTGAAAACATCAAGGACAGTATTGCATCCATTCATTTGCCTTTTGTGTTAAAAGACGAGTATGCTTTTGTTTCCAGAAGCACGAACACTATGCAAATGAGCCCCTGCATGAGCAATAGATGTCGCACACATTGATTCCATTCCGGGTACAACTGCTTTATCTATAAGCTTAGTTACAAGTTTAGAATACAAAAAAGGGATTCTTGCAAAGCTCAGCAGTAAATCTGAGCTGATAAATGGCTATTACTATAGATGCAGAGAAGGCTGTTTCTCTAATGGCCATTTCGTCAACTATACCCAGCAACAAATCTCAGAGGGAAAATGATATAAACTTAAAACCCCTTTAGTCAGTGTCCAAATACACTACCCCCTGGTATGTAGCTACTTTAATTCCAGATATTGAATGTCACTTTCTGCCATCTGTCTGATAGAGATGGATGTACATTTTATTCACTCTATTACTAACAAACGTTTGGGAAGGCTTTACTAGTGCTATCTTCCAGGATTTGCTTGGTTTTACCAAGAATATGAATCAATCTAAAGTGAATCACATTGCTTTCATTGTTGTGATGCAAGGTAATGAAAAAAGTAGTAGTGCTTTCTTTTTTTTTTTGTTTTGGAGAGTGTAGGAAAGATTTTAGAGCAATATAGGGGTCCAGAGAGAGCCTGTTTTCTTGTAAACACAAAGCAGCCAGTCAAGTGAAGAAGTGCCTCAGCAACAGTGATAGGTTAAAAGAGTTTAACCATTTTATTCTTGAAAATCAAAGAAAATGAGTGGATCTGATTGAAGTATTCAAAATTCTGAAAGCATCAACAGAATCCACTCAATGCTATTCTTCAGCACAAGCCAAAGGACGCATGTGGAAGCTACATGAAAGTGCATTTAAAACCTACAGGAGGTGCTTCTGTGGGAGTCTAGAACTCGCTACCCACCTCACTGAAGCCGATACCCAGACTTATCAAGATACCAAGAAACGGCTGGACAACATCCTCAGATAAACTGTCTGGAAGCAAACAAATGAAGCAGATGGAGTGAATGGCCTCCTCTTGTGGGTAACCACTCTTATGCATTTTTTTAATCATGTCTTCATTAAAAACACATATGCAGAATTCTATGGTGCTTGGAAGCTGGCTGCCATGTCAATATGAAGGGAATATAGAACATGATTAATACATGTATTGAGGGAGGTTTGAATGTGAACTACTGTGATGACTATTCAGAAACTAATATGCACAAAACAGCACTGAAAATGAATGTTTTCCTCATAGAAGAGAGCAAATCAAATGATACGGTCCATTTAAAAAACACTGTATCTATCTAATTATAACTATGATATAACAGATTTGGAAATTGTTTTTACTGACAATAGTAATTTAGGAACAACAGTTAATCCCTTTCAAAAGAAACAAAACACTTATATACCACATATATTGATTTGTTCTGTACACTTAATTTCTGTTTAAAAGATTTAATTTAAATTAAAAGATTTGAAGTTTTATTTGATTAATTGTCTTTACAAAGATATCTGTAATATATAATCACTGCTTTGAAAGTAATCCATGTTTTAAATCACAAAAATGCTTTATACAGTATGTAAAATGACTGTATACAAATATGGTATATACTGTAGGCACAGCATTTGTTAAATTTTGTAAACACCAACTAATTTTTGGAAGAAAGTAAATATTTATCAATGACATTTAATATAAAATACAAACATATTTCATGTCAATTTATTATGATATTTCTTTAAACTTTGATCCTCATTAAACAGTTACAAAACTTCTGTGTGCCCTTAAGTCAACGGTAGTCCTCCTTACAAATGCATCTCTGCTCTAAAATTAATGTGCACTCAACAAAGTAAAAAATAATTTATAATGAATTTGAAGCTTACAACCCATTACACAGTAATCGACAGCAATTAGAAATAATTGGCAGCAAAGGAGCACCATTAAAATTGAAAGTTTACAGAGTGTTTTTGAGAGTCTGAATGGTTTTGAGCAATGCATGTGGCTATATAGGGTTTGAGGAGAGAACTAATGCAGAAGAAGACATGATAAAGAAGCACAGACATCCATCACAGGAGTCTGAAACACCCTCAAATACTATAGAGAAAGACGAGAAACAAAAGATCAAAAGAGGAGTGGTAGACACAAGTAAACTATGCAAAGAAAGAAAAGCAGCAGGGGTTTATTAAATAGACTGAACAAAGAACACAGAAGCCCAGGAAAAGAGTTCATACTGGACTGAAGGAAGGACTGCACACCAGAGGTGCTGCAAATAATCATGTTCAGGTCTGGAAATAATGGAGTATTTTAACTTTGCAAGAGAACATCCAGTCTGGAATACATGGAACTAGAATAAGGATATCTGGCCCTAATAGAAGATTTGTAGTGTGACAAAGAAAAGAAGCTGGATACCCTCTGATGGTGAAATGTGGCAAAGGATTTAGAGTACAACTGCTCTGAGGCACTCTAAAAAGTTGTAGGAATATATATATATAGACATAAAATGTCCCGACTGAGGAAATCTACAGACAGGTTTTTCAAACGCCATTCATGACAATGAGCTTAAAGAATAATGCCTTATTAGTAAAGCTACAGCTAACCAAGGATATAGTGGAAATTTGCAATCAATGCAGTGGCTTCCATTGAGTCTCAACGTTGAAGAGTCTGAGATTATATAGGCTCGGAGGACTAGAAAAGACATAGAAACAAGAACCTTCAGTACAATATTGCTACATCAGTCCTAAAATATAGAAGTGGCATTAAAGAGGGTGGTGACTCAGAAAATCAAGGAGAAGACAAATGTTAAAATCGTTTACACTTAGAAAACATGCATCTTTCTTAGATGTTGTCTGTCCTTCAATACCTGCGGCTTATGACTTTTCTAGGGTTAATTGTCATACCCTATACATTTGCCCTTTGTGAGATTCTCTCATAAAATTGCCATTGTTCAGTTTTAATTTATCACACCATAAATTCAGCAGTAAAATGCATTGGTTAGTTAACCTTTTTGAATGAAGAAGGATTGTGCAGTCCCAAAGAACTAAATAAGGATTTTACCTTTAAACTCTCAGACTGCATATGAAATGAACGCCTGAATTATCAGGTGTATGAAGGAAAAGGACAGCCGATCTCAATGGTACGCAGTGTTAAACATACACATCTGTGCTGGAGCACTGAGATTCAATTGTAAGTTAAATGAGATCTTGAAGTAACCTTCTATCTAAGGCTTTGTACTACTCTAAGGACTATGACATGCACAGATACAGAGCAATCTCAAACGAAAATAGCTTAATCTGACAGGTTATTGTACAGTATTTCCAACATTTAGTATTCAAAGTATTGTCCATCATTATTGAATGTCTTATTATGCAAAGGGCAATCACTGTAGAAGAATAGATTTGCTTTCCCACAGGATTTACGACATGTGATCACCACAAATCCTTAAAAGGAGCACAATGAAAAAGCTCCTTACTACAACAAACCTGATCCTTTCAAGCCACGGTAATGTTGTTGCTGCTATAAATATTATTTACATATTAGTTCTCAAATGACTGTTTTTTTTGCACTGAAACCATAATTGCCCATTTTATGTAAGATATTTTAAAAGATGAATAGAATTGATCTTTCTTAAAAATTGAATATTACTGAATCTTTTCATCTATTAAATCAAAATCAAAATCTGGCTTCACAAATGTATATACAGATATTTTTTAGATGGAGACGATCACGTAAAGCCTAATTTAAAAAAAAATTACAAGCACCAAAAAATGCATGAGAATTTTTAAGATGAAAGAACTGTGACAAGTAGATTAGCTGCTCATTTATATCTTGTGCTGTCTGCTAGTGTAGTAAACCTTACAGGCTTTCACAGACATTACTAAGAAACAATACACAAATCCTTGTACTTAGTCAGATTTTAGGAGATGAATTTCCTCAGGTGTGCGGAGATGTCAGAATACCTTCTCCTAGACCTGTTTTAACAGATGTTAAATATAGCATAGAACAAGTACATTTCACTAAACCTGTGGACAAGCCTTAATGCCTGTTACAGTACAGTACATATCAAGTGCAGCAGCACATTGGATTTCTGTCCTATTGCTATAATTAAAACAAAATAAAACAATAATTGGGAAAGTAAATCAGACCTGCTTGTATGCATTTTTATTATTTTGACGAAGCCACATAAGCTGCCTGAGAGCATTCAGAGAGAACCTTTGCTTCCACAAGGAGGGAAACAGTGTTGTCATGTCAGCAAAAATTGATTCATGGGCAAAAAACACAGGACGGTGGTGAATAACATAAACAAGGTTGAATAGCCTACATACTGTAACATTGCCTGGCAAGTTTTTTCTATACTGTATTGTGGGGCACGTTCTTATCTTGCACATCTTAATGGAAGTGGTTTTGGAATCCTAATTGTGAATGCTTGCACAGATTTATTTATTACCTACATTAATCTATTCAAATATGTGTAGTCTTGTCTGCTTTGTAAAGTATTAGACACTATTAACATTGGTATGAACTGAAAATGGCTCAATGCTGATGTCCTTTGACTAAAATGGTACCAAAAGGAACGTACTGTACCTGGACAGTACCAGAGGTACCACATACAGTAGCTGTGAAAGGCAATGCAATACTGTACAGTACATGGGACTGCAAGAGCAGGGCAGTGTGTTACAGTACGTTTCATATTACGATGTCAATTCTAGGATGTAAAAGAGAGACCATCACGGTGTTCCCATCAGGTCCGGACTGACCATGTTGTTGTGCTGCTGGCAGCATGCGGACATTTCTACTTCTCTCTCATATTCTGCTCCAGTTTTCCCACAGAGTAATATCCACCAGCTTTAGTGTGTTCTCCATAAAAGCCTACACACATGTAGAACAGTGGACAAGGCAAACAGAATTGACGTTTCATACGTACAGTATTATTTTTCGATTAGCTTCAATTTAAGACCTGAACCAGGCTCCTGCTATGTTCTGCTGCAGAGACATAACAAATGTTTAAGGGGGAGGAAATTCCAGACGGAAATTCTCTAGATATGGCAATGTTGTTAAGTGGTTAAAAGTGTTTTTTTTTTTTTTACAGATTAAGTAAAAACGTCTAAAAACACGATCAAAATTCCAAAGTGACAGACCGTTTAACAATACCAGGTAGACATTTTATCTAAATTTGAAAAATCTATTTTAAGTTTAATTTATTCTTGAAGCCGCATTATTCTAAATTGAAGCAAAGCCCAAAATAAGGACAGTGTCGACTTTGACTTGATCGAAATGTCGATTTCATACGGAAACCTACAGCATATACAACACATTACATACTGTACACATGGAAATACTATTGTGCTAGTGAAGACTGATAATGCTTAGCTTTTTTCCGGCCACCAGTACGACCTACCAGTAAGACCTACCGTAAAAATATCTGAATTACTGCAACCCGCTGTTTAAAACGTTCACCAAATCTAAGTGGCTGATGTGAACTAGCATGCAGGAGCTGTCCACAGCACTTTCACACAGCGTTTCACCGCTGATTCAATTTGACCAGGCGATACAGTATAAGCACATGTTTATCTTAAGTTTACAATATATCACTTTCAGATCCTGTAAACCAAATAGATCGTGAGTTGAAAGACAGGGTGCTTAATGTAAAGAGAACCTCACAATTGTGAGTCGTTCCGTGTTCTAAATCACAATTGGACAGAACAGTAAAGACGCACAAAGCCCAGTAATTTTACGTGGCAATGTCCATGCCTGTTTGTGGTCGTGAGCCCTTAACACCTATACACATTCGAGTTATACATTTTTCAAATATCTAATGAGCACATTTTGACAGAAACACCTCGCATTTTCAAAGGCACATCAACTTTCATCGTCGTTGAGGTCTACCATTTGGTACCAAACAGGCACAAATAGGTACTGTACTGTAATACAAACTGAACACATCCATAGTTTTTTTTTGTCTGCAACCTCCGACACAAATGTCTTTACAAGATGACCAGTTTATGTTGTATCAAATGTTATGGAATACCGATGCCTCACTGATGATGTGTGGCGCATTGTGTCGAACAGTTGCTGTACAGAATCCGTGATCAGACTATTAAAGCGTCTCTACTTACCTTCCAAGGTGAAAGAGCTTTATGCGTTCAGGATTCCCGGTGCCAAACATGGGAGAAACGCTCTCTGGAGCCGCAGCCTGTTCTGCAATTTCCACATTCCAAGCTGCACACCGTGAGTCGCCTCTAGGAGTTACGGCAAAGTCCCAAACATCCACTACATTGCCTTGCAGATGTGCTTTCTGAGCACGTCCGGGATGAAATCAACGAAATATGCTCAAATTCGAAATTGTAAACAGAATTAGAGAACTTCTTCAAATAGTTTAATCTTGGCAAAATTAAGATGGTTATCCTTCTCTCTCTTCCGCTACGATCGATTGTTTCGAATTCGGTGTTCAACTCGCCTTTATAAAAGAGATGGAGTGACCGTGGAGAGCTGAGGTAAGGATACAGCAATGTAGTCGTATTGTGTGGTCCTCTACATAGTGGTTCACCGAATAGCTGTGGTCGGTCGGATTTCCTCTCGGTCCTAAAGTGCACACGTTACGAAGCACTACGACAATCCGGTACCTGGCTTTTGATTTACAGTTCTAGCAAGTTTTCAGTGACATTTTATGTCGCTGTCTTTTTACCTTTTGTCTTTTATCACAGTTGCCACGATGTAAATGTTTTGCACGTCTTAAATCATGGCTTAATTATCGTATGATTAAATCAACACAGGAAAGTCCCAACTCAAAACAAAAGTTTGAGCGATTTTAAATCGATGTGCAATGTACAGGTAAGTGATATTTAAACAATCTTTTTTATAGAGAACATCTTTTAGCAGGGTAAGGAACAGTGATCAGTTCATGTAACAACATTTACAGTAAACCGATGACAACAACAGAGGAATGGTTCACAACTCACTTGGAAGCAATCCACAGCTGTATACTACAAAAATGGTTTTCCTTCTCTCTTATTGTCTAAAAGAGCTGCTACGGTGAGGTCACTTACCTGAAAACATCAATGTCAAGATCTTGCTCAAAGAAAGTGGAGGACCTCCTGAATCTAGCAGAAATGGTATGCGCATTGTGTAGAAAACCCACTGAACCACACAGCATACTCTACCCAGCAACAAAGCTCAAGTAGGGACATGAGCCTTGCAATGCTTTCACACTCTGTTAGTGTCACCACAGACAACGCAGTCTCCTGTGCTAAGAGCTGAATAATGATAGACCGTTGTTACTGGTTAGATGAGTTACTGTAGCAGCAGAGGTTGGTTATTCCCATTAAAGAGTTTCAGCTGTCATTCACAAGCTTTCAGATACAGTAACTCACAAGCTGCCCAGCCTGAAGCCAGTGCCCAGGTGTGGCACCACTTGAATGAATCACGTCATTAGGGCTTACAAATGCTCAACAAGGATACACACGCATCTGATATGTGACCAGGGTGTCATGAAGTGACCACTAAGAGTGTGTGACCAATGACCAGTCCACCATGTGAAAATAACAGAGACCTCTCCCTGCAAGGTCATACTGTATGTTGACAAATCAGTCATTTTTTACAACTGGGCAGCAAATGCCAACAGTCAGCTGAGATTCAACGAAAGTCCGGCTGAACTGCCAATTGGAGGAAAACATGAAGCAGTCCATCAAAAAGAGGAGTAGGACAATAATAATTAAAGACAACTAGAACCTGCGCATAAATCCTCTAATCATGAACATTGAACGTCCATGTCCAGAATATTGCAGGGCATGTCCTACAGTGCAGCCTTGGCTGAGGATGATAATTGGAAGGCTTTCCTTTAATACAGATGGTGGGAACCTGATGAACATTTGCTGAACTCCGAGTAGATGGTAGCCATCCATCCGTCCATCCATTTTTGAACTGCTTCTTCCAAGTTGAGGTCACATGGGGAGCAGGAGTCTATTTCAGCAAGCAACAGGTAGGCAGGATACCTCCTGGACAGGACACCAGTCCATTCCAGGGCAGGCAGACGCAAACACAGACACGCACACCGGGGCCAATTGTCCCAGAAGCCAATTAGCCCACCAGTATGTTTTTGGACTGTGGGAGGAAACCCCACAAGAGCAGAGTTAACAGCTCCAGTACCTGTGGTTAGAGCTACAGTATCTAAGTGTCCAATCCTATGAATATTGTGACTCCATCTCTTATATAGTATGTCATACAGATAGGAATTACTAGATAGCTGGAGTAAATCACAAAGATTAAAGTTTGCTCTCACATTCGCAGAGAATGAGCCCCAGTGTTTTAAGAAATTAATATGCAAACAAGTACAGTACATTCCCATCTGTCAAGCAAAGGACACACTGCAGGGTTTCCAATCTTGGTGCTTGGGCCCCAACACCTGTGCCATTTTGTTCCATCTGAACGCTTAATAAATAATTAAACCCTTAATTTACTAAATAATAGGTTTAATTCAAACCTGTTTCAGTTTTCAGTATGTAAGAGTTTGCCTTTTAACTTACATATCTTAACTAACTTAAAATCTCCAACCTTTGTATAGGTTCCAACCAAGCATATTGTTGGTTCAGTTTAGGATTAATTTAAGTCAAGAGCTCAGCTCCAGTGAAAACCAACAGGTGTGGGGGTCCCCAGATCCAGGACTGGGAACCCCCCGGCTTAAAGAATCTTCAGCTTGTAACTGTGTATTATAAACAAACATACTGTAGCTCTGAAGTATAGAGCAGAGCTGGTGGTTTATCCTGCAGAGGAGAGGGCTGTCCTTATATGTATGGGCTGTAGGGCATTATAGAATGATATTAGAATTAATGAATAATAATCTAGAGATCTAGAATGAGAGAACAGTATTATAGAGTTTGACAGTTTCTTAATACAATGACCAAAAAAAGTTTCAGCTCTTAAATTTTCCTTTAAGAAGACATTTGAAAAAGAAAATATTTCTTTTTGCTGAATGAAAGGTGACTTTTTTATTTTAGCTGGGGCTGTGATTTGATTATGTGGGCATAGTTCATTAGAATCCTCAAAAACTTGTCTCACAACAATCTGGCTCGAACAACACAAGAATAACCTACACAAACTCTTGTTGTAGTTAATCCATATACAGTACTATACCCCTCCTATCTAATTGGCTTATCGCTGGGTGTTCCTCACCATTAACATCATTTGTTGGTTTGAAACAATGTGAATACATTTTCAGTGAAGGGTTGCCATGAAATGTTATTTTTGCAAGAAGCAAAAAGAGACAAGAATGGAATAAAAATTAAGACACTTTCAGGACACCTCTTCAGATTTTTTATTATGACATTAGTGAAGGTACAGTATGCAGTATGTTAGTTTACAGAACAGTATATCCCCAACAAAGTGTGGAATTCATTTTGTAGCCTGCATGGCTGGGAGACGTCGAGATGTTTATGTCAATTATCCCAAAAGCCTGGGAAAGATCTGTGTTACATAGAACATGCTTCAGACACAACAACACTGCCATCTAGTGCATGCCCTTCATTTTCCAGCAGTCTGTGACAAACCTTCACCGTTTCTCTGTTGGGCTGTTTCCACCCGATCATCCCAGTCAGGGTGTTACTCCTTTCGCTATATGACAGCCTACGTCTGAACACTGAGTAGGTTCACATGCACTTTTCCCCTTGGATCATTATGAACAGGCAATCGAAGAAAGGAATTCTCAGAAGTGATTTCCTTAACTTTCTGACGTCACACCCCTTTTTCTCATTGAGCGCAGATTTATATACTGTATCAAGCATCAAAATCGAAATGTGTTGTTGCATCAGGTTCACAAAGTTATTACAATGTAAACATTTTTTTTATTTATTTGCAAATAAATGTCTGGTGCACCGACATGTTTTTCAAATAAAATTTGGCATCAGTAAATTTCTTAAGATGATTAACAAAAGAGCTGACCAACATGGGGGCTGCCTGTGTTGTGTGTTGTATTGTGACTACTGTGTGTAGTACAGTGCGTGACCAACGCTGAAAGAAATGCAAGCTGTCCATCTGCAATAAATGCTTTGCACCAGGCTGCAGATGCTGTCTAATGGTATTCTGTTTCATTCCTTACATAGTGCCTGTTTACGAGCGTGTGACCCTTAGATGCCACATGTTATCCCAGCTCATCCCATAAACATTCAGTGGTGCTCAGCTTTGGTGAATAGCGCATCCAAAGCACACGTGTCACATTCTCCTCTCACAAAAAACCCACATTGACATGGGCAGCACGAGGACACGCATTGTCCTTCTGTACTGTTGTCACGTCAGGATGAGCCCGAAAGTGAGGTGCCAGCACTTGATCGATGTAGCAGCAGACAGCTACAGTAGCATAACACTCAGTCACTTCAAGTGGAGCTCTGTTGTGCTTTGACACTCTTTCCCTGATCATTAAAGCTGAACTTCCCGTTTGACATATCTGGGACTCCGACTATCACAATTTAAGTGATGTGGCGATGATCTTGGAGTGGTTTCCCAGATCATGACCTGTCATTGTCAGACTATCTTTAAATGTAATATCTTGCCAAGTTAGAAACTGATTGACCTATTGATTGAACTATTGATGGATAAGTGAACATTCTAGACGGCAAGCAGCATAGTCCAGCCTCCAGCATATTGACAGGAGGACAGCAGTGCTCTTTTGATATGCGAGGGGTCCATGTTTTCTCTGGGCCTTGTCCAGCTGAGCAGTCTAATTCAAACCTAACTGATTTCAAATTGGCATCTGAAGCCTGTTTTGGAGTTGGCTTTCCTCTCCTTAAAATTTGAATGAGATTTATAACTGTTATCAATCCCTCCTATTTGTGTGAGTTCCTGTCAATGAGCAACCCTCACTGGGTGAAATTGTACTAATTGAATGTAAGCAGAAGGAAAAACACTCACTCATTGGACTGTCTGATACATTGTTATTCCCACTGGTGTCTGTTCAACTTAAGCTGGTCACCTATTAGGAGCTTTTTAATAAGAGGTAGTAAGCAAATTCCTAATTGGTAAGTTGAGGAGAGACTGCATGATGTTCTGTCTACTGAAGGTATGGTAAATTATTGTACTTTAGGTAGTTTTGAATCCCCGGTGCAGATAAACATCTGAACAAGCAAGTAAATCAGTTACATGCATCAATTAGCACCAGTGATTAAGGGTCTTGCTGGAGTGAAAACATGCAGACACGGGGCTCCCTTTGGACCGAGACTGAGAACCACCGCTGTACACTGTGTGCTGTGTCCAGGAAAAAAAAAACTCTGTAACCAGTTGTACTCAATAAATCTCTGTATGAGTAAATTAAAATATTCCATTGATTTTTTTCTTACAGCAGAATCTCTTCCCAGATTCTAGGTAGAATTTTCAATTGAGAAACAAATGTCTTCTCTATGTCAAATCACTGCTGAAGTTGCATGTCAGTACGTTTCATTTTATAGTAATTTCTTGAACAGCTGTCACTAGGGCAATTATAACTTCAAACTCTCACTCCTGCAATCCGAAATCTCAAGTAACACTTTTTTAGATAGAAGATAAAAAGGTTAAGAAATACTAGGGA